AGAGGTCCCCCCAAGTCTGACTCAAGGGCACACAGGGCAGTTAGTGGAAGGAGCCCAGGGCAGAAAAGGCAAATCAAAACTCAGCTCTCAACAACAACAAAAAAACTCAAATCTCAGCTCTGCCACCTACCAGCTGGGTGAACCTAGAAAAGCTATCTCACCTTCCTGCCTCCAGGGTTGTTTTGAGGCTCAAGTAGCGGCAGAAGCCCTCGATTTTCAAAGGCCCTTGCAGTTTAGGAAGGTTTTCCTTCCCATTCTCTTGGCAAAGAGGATGCAGGTAGCAGCAGGACCCCAGGTCAGAGCCCTGGAAAGGCACGGCGGACAGCCCTCCCACCAGTCCTGCCCAAGCCCAGGCTCCAGAAGGAAGGCACACCCACCCTGGGCTTCAGCATAGATCTGGAGAACATCAGCATGCGAGGGGGTGGTTGGTGATGCCCGCAGCCAGCGCGCTGGAACCAGGGGAGCGCTCTGGGCCCCACACTGGCATCCCTCTTCCCTGGAGGTGGGGGGAGATACGCAGATCCTTTTGCTCAGCAGATACCTAGGGGTGCCCCCAGGGGTCCACAGCCCAGCCCCCAGAATGCCAGGGCAGGCCTGCCAGGCTGGAAGCACTCAGAGCACGGAACGGCATGTGCTGAGGGTGAAGCGCTCAAGTTGGTGGACCTAACTTCTAGGAGAGGCTAGAAGATGGCACAGGCGAAGTGCCAGTGCTGAGGCCCTCCTGGAGAAGGTGGACAGCAAGTCCTGGGAGGCTGAGGGCTGCGTGTGCAAAGCTAGAGCAGGAGGAGGCAGGTGGGAGGCCAAGACCTGGCCTGGCCTTCGGGGGGCGGGCCCCACTCACCTCCACTGCAAGCCTGAAGCAGGAAGATCTTGGGGCAGCCCTCCAGGGCCCTGCGGTGGCTCAGCTCCTGCACCAGCACCTCTGGCTGGACCTCCTGCCCGTCTGCCCCCAGCAGCTGCCCCTGTGGCCCCCCAGGGGCCATGAGGGCCACAAGCGCACAGCTCACGGGGACCCCATGGGTGTCTAGGCACTCTCGGAACTGGGCCATCTCCTCCTGGAAAGCCTGGGGTGGGGACGAGATTGAGGCCTGGGCCCGGGCCTTGGCCTCCCCAGTGCCTGGTGGTCCTCCAGGGAGGCTTGTCCAGGCCCTGCCCATCCTCCTTCCCACCTCCTGCCAGCCTCAGGCCCACAGAGGAAGTCCTTTTTCTAACCCCCCTACCGCAAAGCTGGCATGGCCTAACTGGAGGTGACGTGTGGTCCAGCCTCTTGCAGCTGGGACTTTGGCCAGGGCAGGGAAAATGCTCCGAAAAGTGAAGAGGCGTGAGGGGAGGGCAATGAGCTGACAGGTGTCTGGGAAGGGAGCTGAGACCCTCCCAGGAAAAGCTGGAGGGTCCAGCTGGGGCCTGGAGCAGAGGAGTGGAGAAACAGCGGGGAGGAGGCTGCAGGAGTCCGGGAGGTAAGCTCCGCATGCATGCAGCAGAAAGGACGGAAGCCAGACGGGGTGAGAAGCCCCGGAGAGTCACTCAGGTCCTGGCGGGGGGGGGGGGGGGGGGGGGGGGGCCTTCCCTCAGAGCACCACCAGAACTCTGGCCTTCACCTCATCTGGGCCGTAGGGTCTGTCCTTAGGGTGGTCTTGAAGCTCAGGGCCTGGCACAGGCCCCCCAGCACCTCCACATCATGCTGGACCCCAGGCCGGCCTTCGATCACAGATAGGAGGAGAGCGGCTCTGGTCCTGGACAGGTCATACTGAGCACTGGGGCTGGGTTCCGGCTACAGACAAGTTAAGGAGCATTCAGAGTGGCCTGAGAACCTCCCAGCTCCTCACGTTCCCCCATCTCAGGTCTCCCTGAGCCTCTGCCCCCTCGCAACTGCTGTCACCCCACCCCGTTCCCCTCACCTGGTGCTCCCAGGGTTCCACATCCCCCAGGCACAGTGCACCCCACAAGGAGCTCCGGAGGACTGGGCAGCAGGTGGCCTCTGACTCTTTGGCTGTCCTGTAGAAGACCTGGGGGGGTGGAACCAGAGAACCCCAAGGGGCCTGCTCCATAGGGGTGCAGTTTGGGGAGGGAACAGGACACTGGCTTCAGGGAACAGCCTGGCTAGCTCATGGCTACTGCAATCTCTTTGGGGTCCCCTGCCAGAATGGAGGGAGCAGAAGACAGACAAAAGAAGGGGAGGGCACGAAGGAGGTGTCCTAATTCAGGTTCAGTGTCATGGGCTTCCCTGGACATGGATGTCCTTAAGTGGATAGTGGCCATGCCATTAACCACACCACTCCCCACTCCAGGGATCCATGTGCACAGAGCTGGGGTGCTCCCTAGAGCAGGTTGGGGACTATCTGGGAAGGTTCACAGGGTAGGTACCGCCTGTGGAGGGCACCAGGCTGGGGAAAGCTGTGGAGTGGAGCCAGGGCCCACCCTTCACCTCCAGGGTCACCAGTGGCCACCCAACTGCCCAGTGAGACCTTTGGGCCTTGAGCCCAGACCAGAACTGGATGGTTCGTCACTCTGGTTTCTAGGGACCTGCAGTCTGACGGGACAGTCACCGTCTGTGTGAGTGTGAACGGGGCTGGGCAGAAGTATAGGCGCTGACTCGGGGAGCTCAAGGAAGGGCATCACTGACAGCCTGGAAGGGAATGTGTGAGGCTGGCTGGGACAACAGGAGGGCAAGCCAGAGGGAGTGGCGTGGGCAAAGGCATGGAGCTGAGAAGCAGCTGGGAGTGTCTGGGGGATCTTGAGCGGGTTGTGAGGAGGGGCACGGGTGGCGTGGGAGGCAAGGGCTCGAGGCTGATACCTCATGCACAGAAATAAAGAGTCATCTGTACAATGAATGGGGGCGGGGGCATGTGAGTGACTTGAACTGTCAAGCAGGTTCAGGAGAGCACAGCAGAGCCAGGGGAAGTGAGTGGCACAGCCCCCCTCCCAGGGACCCCCCCCATCTGGAACCCCCACCTCCATCAGCAGCTGCAGCAGAGACCAGTGAGGATATTGGCCACAGAGCTGGCTCAGACCAGTGAGGAAGGCTCCGGGCTCAGGGGCAGCTAGGTGGAGAAACCGCACGTTGGCCTGGAGGGGAGGTCTTGGCCCTCCTGCCCACCCCCACCCCTGCTTTGTGACATCCCACAACCGGTGTCCCTGCCCAGCCCACTCACCGAGCACTGAGAGCAGCAGGAAAACTTTGGGGCAGGCCCACAGGGCCCTACAGCGGCTCAGCTCCCGGACCAGCTGCTGGGGCTGCCTCAGCTGCCCACTGGGGGCCCCCAAGGGCATCCAGCTGCTCCCAGAACCCAGCCAGCTCCCCAAGGAAGCCCTAGGGCAAGAGCAAAAGCCGGGCCTGAGTCCAGGGAGGCCCCAGGGTGGGGCTAGGTGTGCGTGCTGCGATGAGGGTGAGGGTGGGAGGCAGGTGAGGACTCACCTGGACAGAGGCCTCCCTCCTCTGACAGCTCTCAAAGCCCAGGGTCCAGAACACGCCCTCTAGGACAGTGACTTTAGAGGCTGACATGTCAGGGCTCCTGAGTGTCAGGGCCACCCTTGGACCCTGCAAGCCATACTTCCCCTGGGGAGGCAAGACCAGAGTCAGGCTGGGGTGGGGCTCAGCTGAGAGCCAGGAATGGGCTGGACCAGGCAGCACCTCTCCCTACCTTTGTTTCCAGACTCTGTTGAGCATCTCCCATCTGCAAGGCCACCTGCAGGGTCCCAACCACCAGGAAGGCCATGGGGGCCAGGTGGGGTCTTCCTCTGAGCACCGAGCTTACCCCTGGCCCTGATGCTGATGCCCCAGGTCCCAGTACTTGCCCTTTCCCTGAGCCCTGTCCTATCAGCTCTGTTTATGAGCTGAGCTGGACTCTGCTCCTTCCCTGGAACCCTGGGTCTTGGGCCCCCACTGCTTCAGTCCCTGTCCTGTTCTCCGGCTCCAGCGGGCTACTTCCTGGCTGGCATTGGCATGCCCCCACCTGAGCCAGGAGTTTATGCCCAATCCTCTTCTTAGCTCTTGGCCCACCTCCTATCTGATCTCGTTACACAGGAGTGTCTCCCTTCTGAGCCAGCCACCAGCACCAAAAAAATCCATGCAGGGCTCTCACCACCCCTACTCACTCCTGCACAGCACCCACACCACCCACACATGTGCACACTGTAGCCTTGAGCACAAGGGTACGAGGAGTGGTGACGGGTGCTGTCTCACAGACAGAAACCCCAACTGGAGTCATCTGTCCACAATGGGGCCCCAGTTGCTTCATCCAGGAAATGGGGTCCATCATAGCGAGCTCAGGACGAAGCAAGTGTTAAATGGGGGGCTGGCTGAGGAAGGGCCCTGGAGCCAGAGAGACTGGCGCACAGACTAAGGGACAGAAAGTTCTGTCGCCACCTGCCCCCACCACACTATAGGCAGTCCAGTGAGGCTACTACCAGGCAAACTGGGAAGGGCTCCATGGGGATGTAAGGACCTCTGACCATGCACCCACCAGCTCTGTGCAGGCTCCAGTCGGAGGCCTTGGCAGGCGAGGGGTGAGATGTCAAGGGCTGGGTGGGGAATGGGCAGGGTCCATTCTGACCCAGGAGTCCACTCCCGCTAAGGGATCTGAGCAGAGGGACCAGCTTAGAGTTCTGGATCTCCTTGAGCAGCAAGAGCACACCGTGCCCCCCACCAGTCACCCCACACCCAAGCCTGTTTCTTCAGGTCGCCATTGAGGAGAAAAGGAGTGGCCTGGCAATGACCTGCTCAGCTCCCGCGTTGTCCTGCCCGGTGGCGAGGGGTGCCTCCAGCTGTCCCATCCTGAGCTGCCCCTGGTCCACAGCTCACACTGGTTGACACAGGCCAATGAGAGTCCTGAGACTCACTGCTGTTCTTTGCAGCCCAGCCAACCTGGAAGCCAAGAATGTGGCTCCACCTGGTGACGACCCAGCACCAGTACCCCGGGCAGCACCAAACCAGGAGGCGGAGAGACATGAATTCCAGTACCCCCACCCAGCAACCACATTAAGAACAGAACAGCCTAGAGGAAGTTTCCGTTATTTATTCAACATCTTCTGCTGCCCGTTTGAGACCAGCAGAGCTGAGCTCCTTTGGAGAGCCTGTGGTCTGTCCCTGCAAATGCCCATCTGCAGACAATGCGGACGGCACCATGGAATGCAGTGCTTAGGGAGTCAGCGACAAAGCGCTAACAGAGTGCTAGTGTTAAGTATCACAAACCCCACACCTCTGGAGAGGGGAGCAGCGGGGAGCAGCCAGCCTCCACCAGCCCTGTCCTTGGTCTTCAGTGTGGGCTTCCTGTCCCTGGAGCTGCCCCCACCCACACCAGATTGGCAGGGGTCGCTCTCAGGGACTCGCTTGGGGGCAAGTCAGCTTCGAGCAGAGGCAGGCAGTTTCCATGTCTCCAGGCGGGGCAAAGTGGTCACGGCCTGGAAATGGGGAGGGATGGGGCTGGAAAGCCCGTGGCCACACCCAGGACCCAGATCCTCCCAGGGATGGGCTGTCCCTCCCAGAACCCAGAAGCATCCTGCAGGTCAAGGCCTGTCCTCCACACCCACCAGAAGGCACAGCTTGGCAGGGCAGAGGGCCCGGCCCACGGACTCAGCTGACATGGCCGGCAACAAAGAGCCATGGGGCAAGCAAGGCCGGGGGGTGGGGGACCCCAGGCCCTGCCAGAGTCCTCACACTTCCCTGACGCCCAGGCCTTTCTCCCACGCTGAGGCCACGGGCCAGGAATGTGCTGGGGCACCAGGAAGCCAAAGGACAAGAGAAACCCGGGAAGCAAGAAGGGGAATGGCCGCGAGGTGGTGGGGACTTTCCATTCCCTGGGAGTGTAGGCTAGGCCTAGGGGCGAGGCGGGGCAGGCAGCCAGGATGGAGGCCGCAGATGGGGAGAGAGAACACCGGGGGCCTGTGGCTGCTTCGCCCTGGGGACACCATCCCCCCCAGCCCCCACTCCGGGTTGGCCGCAGGGCCCTCGCCAGCCCTCAGCCCACAGGCTGGGCCATCTTGGCGTGCAGGCTCTGGTGGGCGATGAGGTGGGCGCGCTGCTTGAAGCTCTTGTCGCACTCGCCGCAGCCGAAGGGCCGCTCGCCTGTGTGCACGCGCCGGTGGTCCAGCAGGTAGGAGCGCAGCGAGAAGCTCTTGCCGCACTCGCTGCAGCCGAAGGGCTTCTCGCCCGTGTGGATGCGCTGGTGGTCGGCCAGGTAGGCGCTGCGGCTGAAGCTCTTGCCGCACTGGGAGCAGGAGAAGGGCTTCTGGCCCGTGTGCACGCCCTGGTGGCGCAGCAGGTCCGACGAGCTGCGGAAGCTCTTCTCGCACGCCTGGCACTTGTGCGGCTTCTCGCCCGTGTGCGTGCGCTGGTGGCGCGCCAGGTCCGAGCCCCAGCGGAAGCGCTTGCCGCACTGGCCGCAGCTGTGCGGCTTCTCGGCTGCCAGGTCTCGCAGCGGCCGCCGGCGCGCGGGCGGCCGCCCCCTCCGCGCCCCCACCGCGCGGCCCACGGGCGCCCCCGGCCGGGCCTCGCCGTCCCAGGCCTCGGGCTCCTCGGGGTTCCAGGACACAGTCACGTCGCCGCGCCCGCTGCCGCCGCCGCCGCCGGCCTGGCCCGGCAGCGCCGTCACCGCCTCCTCCAGCCCGGATCGCTCGCTTGGGCTCTGGAGCCCCACACCTGCAAGCCGAGAGGGGGCGGCCTCTTCAGTTCCGCTGGGTTCCGGGACCAGAGCTGGGGCAAGGCAGAAACAGGACTCAGGTCCAGAAAGCCCAGGGCGGCACAGGACCCCAGCCTCAGTTTCCTCGCCCATAAAATAGGGACATGATAAACTGCTGACGGAGAAACACTTCAGAGGCAGAGGCCTAGGGTCCATCTGGGCTGATGCGCTGCATAGACACTTACTAATTATACGCCCAACACTTCCATGCCGTGTCCACACTGGCATCCCATGTCCCACCCTCTGAACCTTGGCTATTCAAACTCCAAAACTGAATAAATTCAGGTAGTTTGCAAGTTATCCAAACCCTCAGTATTTCTTACCAGAAACTGAGAACCTACATGGGTTCAGCCAATGTGGCTGCTCTTATTCCACAAGCTTTTGTCCCTTAAACTCAACAACAGATTTGGACAGGGAATGATCCCAGCCTGCCCACTGTGTCATGTGGATTAAATGAGACGATCCCCAGACAGTGCTCAGAAAGGCTCTAATGAAGAGAGGAGCTCCAGGAGGGAGGCCTCCGAAGAGCAGAGCCCGGGCCTTGGCACGCGGACAACGGGTGTTCTGTCAACCCCTCTTCGTGGGGCTAAGGGGACCTCACAACTACTGTACAGAGCCCCAGCTCAGCCCCTTCAGTGTCCGTTGACCTCTCTGAGACTCAGATCCCTCATCTGTGAACCGGGACTACACCTCTATGCAGCAGGTTGTGAGAATCACAAGAAAATGCCCGTATGAGAGCTCAGCACAGTGCTGACATGTTGCAAGCACCCATCTTATGGTAACACACACTCAAAAGCAAAGAAAAATGAACACTGAGACAAACGGAAAATCACCCAGGGCTCTTGGAAAAAACCAGCGAAAGCCCACTTTCCAGCCAGCTAAGGAGGGGATAGAAAGACTGAGGATTCCAGCAGGGACATACGGGGGTGTACGGCCTGCTTGCGCCCACCCTCTGTCACCGGGACCCCCAAGAAGGCTGTTGCTTCCAGTTCAGAGGAGCCAAGGACCCCAAGGGCACCCACTGCTTACCCAGGGCAACATTCCGGGAGTTCTCTCGCTTTATGTCCCAAAAGAGTTCCCTCTGAGCAGGGTCCAGAGACCCCCACTCTTCCCGGGAGAAATAGAAAGGAATGTCTCCAAATGTCACAGGTCCCTAGAATGAGGTTTAAAAAAACAAAACAAAACACACAAACAACCTGGCTCAGGACTGCCACTCTGGACTCCCCCTTGGGATGGGGAACAGGATACGTCCAGGCAGGACCAGGATGGATGGAAGAGGCCTTGATGAAAAGACAAGGCCCATTTTAGGGACTCGACAGCACCGAGGGCCTCAGAGGGGACAAATGGACTGGTGACTCACATGGGCCTCAGAGGTAAAGCAGGTATCGGTTGTCTCTCTGGTACTCCCTTCTTTAAGAGCAGGAAGCTGGGCTGAAGGAAAAGAACAGAGGTTCACAGAGACCAGCCCAGGCCAGGAGTGAGCTCTCACACATGTACATGCACACACATTCCTAGGCTTCCTACAACAGAAATACCCTTTCGGGGGCGCCTGGGTGGCTCAGTCGCTAAGCATCTGCCTTCAGCTCAGGTCATGGTCCCAGGATTCTGGGATCAAGCCCCGCATCGGGCTCCCTGCTCTGCGGGAAGCCTGCTTCTCCCTCTCCCACTCCCCCTGCTTGTGTTCCCTCTCTCGCTGTGTCTCTGTCAAATAAATAAATAAAATCTTTAAAAAAAAGAAAGAAAGAAAGAAAGAAATATCCTTCCTGCTACCCTGAGGGCAACGCCCTGGAAGGACCCAAGCCCCTGCTCAGTGATCTGTGCCTACAAGCTTACTCACCACCATGGCTGTGCTGCTCCCAAGGTACACGTGGCCAGCTTCGTGCCCCCACCTTCATGGGAAGCCCCTTGGCCTGGGGTCCCTGGACTGTAGCCTCAGGTTCCACGTCCTCTGAGGGCACTTCCTGTGCAGGAACCACAACATGCTCATCAGCACCGAGACCAGATGGGGGAGACAGAGCTTAATCCCTGGGAAGGAGACACAGGACACGTCCCTCAGGATGCAGGGGGGTGGGGAAGGAGATCCACATGGGGTCCCAGAAACATCCAGAGGAGAAGGTGACACCAGGCAGTGCTGTGTGCCCACAGACACTCCCTGATCAAGCATGAGGCAAGAACAGCTCCCAAAGGCCAAATCACAGAGCCACTTAGTAAGGGGGTGTGGGGGCAGACCTCCATGCCAAGGGCGGAACTCCACACCCCAGCCACTCATTAGCACCTTCCCCAGGGTCAAGAATCCAACACCCCACAGAGAGCAGGGTTCACATGGACAGCTACCTTCTCATACCTACTCTGCTGCTCTCATTACACATGACTGTATCCCCAGGGCCTGGCCTACAGCAGAACATAAAAAAACATTTGCAGAACCTGTGTGGAGCTACAACTGCCTTCCTGGAACATGCCCACTTTGGTCCTGCTGCTGCCCTCCAAAGCCACCAAAAAGAAACCAGATTCATTTGGACAGTGTCTTCCAGAAAGGCAACACTTGTTATGATGCACTCCTGTTGATGCTCCCTCTGGCTCTGCACCCCCACCACCCCTGGAGGACTTGTTTATATGGAGATGGCCACCTCTCTTCAGCCAGGTACCAGCCAGGTGCCTCTGGGTGTGGGAGGGGACGCTCACCTGCGGCCATGCTTTCACTGGCTGTTTCTGCAGGACCTCCACCAAGGCAACGGCCTCCTCGCCACTCCCTGGACACCGCTCTCGAACCCAGTCCTGGACGCCTCCGGGCAGCACACTCAGGAACTGCTCCAGCACCAGCAGCTCCAGGATCTGCTCCTTGGTGCGCAGTTCAGGCCGCAGCCAGCGGCAGCAGAGCTCCCAGAGCTGACTGAAGGCCTCATGGGGCCCGCCCACATCCCTATAGCAAAAATGCCGAAAGCGCTGGCGACAGACCTCAGAATCCCTGTTGTCTTCTTGCTGGGCAGAGTCCTGCTCCCAGGAGGAATCTTCCACCTTCACAATCAGCAGCCCTTCTCCCTCCCCAGGGGCCTCGTCCTGAGGCTCCAGGGGTGCTGCCATTCCCCTGGCCTAAAGCTCAGGACTGGTTGGCCTCAACCTTGGCCTGGGAGCCTGTCCTTCAGTCTCCCAAAGGGATCCCCTGTGGCAGCCAGGTGGACATCTGGACACGTATTCCTGGGGAAAGAGCAAAAAGCAGGAGGGGGGCAGTAAATGAGCAAACACCGCCAGCCTGCTCCTGTCCTTTCCTGGCCCTGAAGTCTTTTTTAGGCTCTTCCATAATGCCTTGCTCGTGTGACTACAAATACAGGTCTACAGCCCCTTATTCTCAGCTTTAAAATCCAAAACTGCCAGGTTTTTACTACCTGGCCTACTGATGTGAGCATATTCATAATCTCCCTTTATCTCACTTAACATAAATGTTTCTATGTTTTACAGCAAAAATATTTATGTATTTCTTCAGCTTGTAAATATTCACCAAGCTGTACTTACCATGTGTATTTCTGTATGCGTATTACACTTCAGTAAAAAAAAAAGGTAATTAATACATTTGATTATTGAGTATTGCTGCAGATTCTGCTGGTGGAGTTACTTGATATACCATGTGTACCGTATTACTTTCGTCAAATCTGAAAACTTCTGAATTCCAAAACACATCTTGGCCCTGGGGTGTCAACAAAGAGCTCACAGACACCAGGCTAAGCCATTTATCCACAGGTACATACGAATGAGTGACACATATTTGTACCTTACATTGCTACTCCTTACAATAGTCCTGAAAAGTATATATTTTGAAATCTTCTTTAATTGCTCTTTTGTTTCAACAAAAAAAGTGACACAGACCGTTATAACAAAAAAGGCAGGGGGACTTAATACAGAAACACATAAAATAGAAACTCCCTTCCAAATGCAGTTGCACCCCCCCTCCATAAACAGTATGACATGTGACCTCCTGGACTTTTCCCTGTCCATTCACTGAAAATGTATCCATAGAAACGGGAAAAAATAAGTGTTTTTGTGTGTTTTACATAAATGAGGTCTTACTGCACATACTATTTTGTATCTTGCTTTTCCACCTAACAATGCTTCTTCATTAGCCACTCTGGGAGATTGCACGGTGTGGATGCGCTCCAGTTTCTTAACAGGTACCCGAGTGAGGCATTCAGCTTGTTTCCAGTCCTTCTCCACTACACACTAAGCACTTTACTTTATTCTTCCACTCCTCACAACACCCCTGAAAGGTACGCGCTCCATTCTCATCCTCCAGTGACCGAGGAGAAGGCTCCGCTCGGACAGGACCAGGGACTCACCAGGGTCGCTCGGCAGGACGCGGCGAGCGGGAACGCGGACCTGGCCGGAGCACCGCGCTCCGACCCCAGCAGCCTCGCCTGCGCTCAGCTGAGAAGCGGCGGGCGGGCACGGCGGGAGCAGGTGACCCCACCCCCAGCACTTCCCAGCAGCGCGCGCCACCTTCGGCCTCTGTCTCGGGGCGCTGGCCCCTGCCACCCGCAGCCCAGCGCTGGCTCTCGGAGCTCCGCGTCGCCAGTCCCGCCCCCGAGACACACACCGCCCACAACTGCCCAGGCGTTCCTAGTTCCGCCGCCAGCTCCCCGCGCCGGAAGTTCGCGCGTGGCTCGCCGGGAAACAACACAGCGCATGCGCCGCAGCAAGCACTCGAACTACACGCCCAGAAAGCCCTTCGCCCATTGAGTCCGCCTTCTCCCTGACGGATAGCCAATGAACGGGGAGAATTCCTAGAGTTGGCCAATCAGGAGGCAGCGGCGCCCACCTGTGCCCCCAAGCTGAGGTTCGCTTCTAGACTCGTTCTTTCACATTTCTCTGCCCTGCTGGTCCGTGAAGGGCGGAAAGGGAAAGCCAAGGCTGGTTTGTTGGGCCGACACGGCGTCTGGCCCAGCTACGAGTAGAGTGCGCCATACGCCGGAAGGGATCCGCTGAGAATGGACTCTTCCTTCCGCCTCCGGTTCTTTCCTCGAGTGGGTGGAGGGCGGAGGGCCGAAGGCCAGCGCGCTGCTCGGCCCCGGGATACTAATTTCCAGCTTCTTGGCCCCGCCCTCGCCAAAGTCTTTAGCCGCTCCTAGCGGGGCGTGGAGCCTCCTGGGAAATGCAGTCCAGTGAGGGACGCGGAGCCTCCTGCGGCGAGTCTTCGCACCTCGGCCGAGGCCGTGCGGCAGGACGCGGCCCACGGGGACGCTGACCCCGGGGAGCCCCCCGCTCTCCCACCGGCAGCTTCCTGTGCGGGCCGGCGGCGTCCCTGCTGGGGAGCTCTGGGTTCTCCTTTCCATGCATTTGTACCTGCTCCCACACTCTACTTTAGTGCAGATCTGTGGCTCCAGATCTTTTCCTGAAATATGAAGAGCTCTCTTTTTATTTGTTTTGATTATGCAATTATTGCATGCCTAGTGTAGAAAAAATTAAGAAGTATGGAAAATTATAAAGCTATCTATATCCACAAAGCTAGCACCCCCAATATGCTCAAATGTCGCTCCCTCCAATTGGCTTTTCCTAACTCTATATACGGCGCCTCCCCCCCTCCCCCCCGCCCCCCGCGCCCCGCCGCCATACTTCTGCCCTACCTTATTTTTCTTCCTTTTATCACTACCTGACACACCTACGTAATAATTGTTCCCTAATACTGGACTGTAAGCTCGGTGAGGTCAGCGTTTTCACTGCCCTACTCCTAGCATCTGGATTTGTGCCTGGCACAATATTTGTTGACTAACTGAAGGCAAAAATAACTGGAGGTAAAAAATATATTCCTAATAAGGTCATTCCGAAGTGAGTGATATAGGAAAGACGTTAGGGTTTGAAGCCCACGGCCAAGAAAGATCTCTTGAGACATCTTTGGTGCAAAAAGGTGATTTTATTAAAGCACAGGGACAGAACCCGTGGGCAGAAAGAGCTGCACCGGGGTCATGAGGAGTGGCCCATTACATACTTATATACTTTCAAGTTGGGAGGTGGTTAGGGATAGCATAAGTCTCTAAGGAATTTTGGAAGCAAGGTTTCCAGGACCTTGAGCTGGCTAGCTATTTTTGGGAAAAGGTCATTTATGACCGTCTAATAAAACCTTGGTCATGAGACCCTTCAGATGTATATCGGAGAGCCATATGCTTGGGGGATGATTGCCAACACGTACCGTGGGGGGTTTAGAGATAAAGGAAGTTCCCAAAGGAATTTTTATATGTTAAAGTAGACTTACAGGATCCTGGGGCGGGGGCGGGGGGGGGGTGCTCAGGCTAGGATTGCCTTTTGCCCTTAGCAAAGTCTTAACATTGAGGCAGTTGAGTCCCTAGAGGAATGTCACTCTCCCTGTTTCAAGGACTTGTCAGTGGGCTCTAGAATCTAAAGTAAATTTAATAATTTTTTCTTCTGCCTTTGTTTCCCACACAGTGAACATTATTAATATTTTAGTCTGTTTTTACACTTCTATGTCCATGAATATTTCTTATATAAATTTGAATAATTCTATGTAAGTAATGTTTTGTTGACTCAAAAGTCTATCAAGGATATCTCTAGGGCGCCTGGGTGGCTCAGTCGGCTAAGCGTCTGCCTGCAGCTCAGGTCATGATCCCAGGGTCTCTTGCTTACCAGAGCACAAGCAGGGGGAGCAGTAGAGGGAGAGGGAGAAACAGGCTTCCTGCTGAGCAGGCAGCCATATGCGGGGCTCAATCCCAGGACCCTGGGATCATGACCTGAGCCAAAGGCAGATGCTTAGCCATCTGAGCCACCATAAATAAAGGTGCCCCCATAAATAAAATCTTAAAAAAAAAAAAGGATATCTTTCTATATCACCATGTATAAATAAAATGCATCTGTTTTGCAGGCTACATAGTATTCCATAGTATGGAAGTTCCATATTTTATTTAAAGTTCCTTACTCTTGGACATTTAGATTGTTTACAGTTTTCTGTATTTGCAAGTCATTTATACAAACACCCACCTTCCAGCATTTGCTTGAACAATTTGCTGGAGGGCATGAGTCCTCTCTGTGAACACTGGTGAAGTGGATGCTCCTGGGCTCCCTCCCCTCTCTCTACTGGCCCCATGGAGAACTACACAGAGAAAAAGGAACTTGAAAGCCCATTTTTCTAGGTGTGGACTTACAGTGTTCTTCCATCCCCCTCTATTGGCAAAGACTAACATCAAGTTGGCTATCAAAGGAGAAAGGCTCTAGTACCACAAAGCGGGACAAAATGTGTGTATTGTGGGCCGAGAAATTATTAGTAAATTAATAACTGGCACACTTACCATATATTTTATTGGGCACTGCCGGTAGATGACAAGTTATTTGTATACAATGACTTGAAATTGACCACCCAATAGCTCTTCTTTTCTTTCTGAAATTATTTAAGTTTGTTTTTCTAGCTAGGAAATATAGTCTGTAAATAATAAAAGTCGAGATTTTCTTTCCAGAAGATTTATATTCATTTCCAGAATTTATACTCATTATTTCCTTAGTCTCAGTCCAGAATTCTCTAAACAATGTAAAAAATTGAGGACAACAGGTATTATTGTCTTGCTTAATGAAAATACTTTTAATGATTTACAATTATCCATTGTTTGTCCCTGATATATATCCATGCTCATATTAAGGAGCATCTATTCTCATTTGCAGCAAAAAGACTACTAGCTGTTCCCCAATATCGGTTTTCTCCTTTGACAGTAAGAATTTTTCAGTGGGCACAAAGCCATTCAGAATAAGGAGTAGGGGCGCCTGGGTGGCTTAGTTGGTTAAAGTGTCTGCCTTTAGCTCAAGTCATGATCTCAGGGTCCTGGGATCCAGCCCCATGTCAGGCTTCCCACTCAGCAGGGAGTCTACTTCTCCCTCTCCCCTGCCCCTCCCCACCCCAGCTTATGCTGTCTCTCTCTCAAATAGTCTTAAAAAAAAAAGAATAGCGATTTCCCAGCCTCTCCTGCAGTTAAGCATGGCCATGTATTAAATTGAAGGCAATGAGATGTGAGCAGACGTGATGTATTTATCTTACTAGAAAGGGGTGGGTCCTGTCTTCCTATTCTCTTTTTCCCAGCTGCTAACAGAAATTTGGATATAGTGGCGTGGACCATGCAGATGAGAGTAACACTCAGAGATATCAAAGCAATAAGACAGAAAGTGCCTGGATTCCTGAAGATTGTGGAGCCACCAAACTAGCCCTGGATTTATACCCACACAGTGATGTGAGAAAGAAATGGGTACCAAGTTTAAGCCACTGCTATTTTGAACCTCTATTGTAAACAGAGTGTATACCCTAACTAAATTACTACCTAGTAAGAGTTTTTTTTCATTAAAAATAGAATATAAAGGGGCGCCTGGGTGGCTCAGTCGTTAAGCATCTGCCTTGGGCTCAGGTCATGATCCCAGGGTCCTGGGATCAAGCCCCACATCTGGTTCCCTGCTCAGCAGGGAGCCTGCTTCTCCAGCTCCAGCTCCCCCTTGCTTGTGTTCTCTCTTTTGCTGTATATCTCTCTGTTAAATAAATAAATAAAAACTTAAAAAAAATAGAATATAAGGGGGGCACCTGGGTGGCTCGGTCAGTTAAGCATCTGTCTTCCACTCAGGTCATGATCCCAGGGGCCTGGGATCCACCTGCGATAGGCTCCCTGCTCAGCGGGGAGTCTGCTTCTCCCTCTCCCCCTGCCCCCCCTTGTGCTCTCTCTCTCGCTCTCTCAAATGAATAAATGGAATCTAAAAAAAAAGAAGAACATAAGGGGTACCTGGGTGGCTCAGTCAGTTGAGCAACTGATTCTTGGGTTTTGGCTCTGGTCCTGATTTCAGGGTCATGAAATCAGCCCAGCATCGGGTTCTGTGCTTGGCATGGAGTCTGCTTGGGATTCTCTCTCTCCCTCTGTCCCTCCCACTTGTGCTCTCTCTCTCTCAAATAAATAAATAAAGCTTTAAAAAATAGAACATAAAAATATTTATTTTTATAATTTCTCTGGTGGGATATTAGATATTCAGAATTTCCATGTCATCCTGACTAAATTTTGATAGTTTTTTCTAGGAAATCATCCCTTTCATCTACAACTTCAAATTTATGAAGATAAAGTTGTATGTAGTATTCCCATTTGATTAAAATTTTAAAAATCAGCATGTATGGTTAAATCCTACTCCTTGTTTTGGGATCCTGAGATAGCACTTGAATGGTGGTGGAGCAGCAGGCTAGGAAGAGCCTGGGTCCCTGTTGACTTTGTGGGTTAGGGCTGCCACACCAGTCCTGACATAGGCTGCCTACCTCCAGCCCACCTGCACATATTATCTTGAGATATACACTTACATCTTGGTTAAGATCCTGCTATTTTGGGGGCGCCTGGGTGACTCAGTCATTGGGCATCTGCCTTCGGCTCAGGTCGTGATCCCAGGGTCCAGGGATCGAGCCCCGCATTGATTGGGCTCCCTGCTCAGCGGGGAGGCTGCTTCTCCCTCTCTCCCTGCGTGTGTTCCCTCTCTCGCTGTGTCTCTCTCTGTCAAATAAATAAATAAAATCTTTAAAAAAAAAAAAAGATCCTGCTATTTTGGATCTCTGTTATTTGTAATCCTAACTGATCCACTGCCTCACAGGGCTGTTATCAGAATTAAATAAATGAGAGAATACAAGTAGACCACTGAGCCCAGCACTAACTCTTAACACACAGGAAGTGCTCAATAAAGAGTGACTAGTCCCAGGGAGTTAGGTATTGCCAGGAACCTGTCACAGGGGCATGCCCACAGGAGCATAAGGTACATGAGAAGCTGCTGGATTTAGGCCCTCCAGGTATTTTTTCCACTTTCCCCTGAACATTTGAGTCCAGCTTGTTCTGGTCAGTGGCCTGTTGGGTTGTAGTATTAATCTTCAAGACTAGCCTCGAACTTTGTTAGTTGAAAACAGAAAAACTGGGGTGCTCTAGGAGGTGACAGAGTTGCAGGCCACGGAGTGCTGTCTTTGCAACCGAGGCAAGGCAGCCTGACTGACCACACACCACAGGCTGGCAGAGGAGCGTGAGGATGAGGAAGGTTGGATCATCTTCATAACCTCCCTTTCTCCACTCTCCGCCATATACCAAGGAGAAACCTCAGCCCACAGTCTCTGGCAAGTCTCACCTTCTAGCCTCCCCTTCTGCAGGCACCTCCCACCAGAGGTGTCATTTCAGCTCCTGGTACATCAATCTCTTCCTCATGGCGGAGCCTTTATTCATTCTGCTCCCCTTGCTTGGAAGGTTCTGCCCCCAAATCCTTGTAAAACAGCTTCTCATCATTCTCCAAGTCTCAGCTTAAATGTTCCCGCCTTGAAGGGGCCCTCTCTGACCGTCGGTTCCTAACACCCTCCATTGCTTCACACGTTCCTTTCTTTCTGGTATTTGTCACTACCTGAAAGCAATGTTTGTGTCACTTATCTGCTTATCAGTCTCCCTCACTAGACCGGAACCCCGTGAGGGCAAGGATCTTGTCTGGCTTTGTTATCGCGTATTCCTCATCGTTTAGCAAAGAACCTGGAATGCAGGCATTCATTTCGTATTTGAAAAACGAATGAGTGAATGCAGCAAAGCCCATACTTAACGTTTCCCTGCCCTTTACCTCCCTCCGCCCGCCACCCAGAGCCACCCCCACTCCCCCCGCACTGGCCACCTCAGTTTCCCCGGCTCCCCCCGCCCCCAAGAGGGGTCTCCCTCCAGACGGTTCCCGCGCCCGCGCCCAGGTCTCCCCAGCACCACTGTCAGGCCCTGCTCCGGGGCTCGGAAGGTGCTAGAGCGCCGGCGGGAGGTTTCCGCGCGCCCGCCCAGCTCCAGTGCAGGGGCCATAGGTGGCTGCCGGGATCGGGCTCCCAGAGTTCCCAGCCAGCAACGAGATGCCGGGGCTGGGAGCTCGAAACCGGAAGCGGCTCTGGCCCGGGCCGTCCGGCCCTCGCCCGCGGCCCCTCTAGGACCGCAGGAGGCTTGGCACTTCGGTAGTAGGCCCAGGGCCGGCTGTGAAGGCTAGGGGGGTGGCGAGGTCAGCAGTCCAGGCCCCCATCCTTAGTCCCTTCGGCAACGGCCACCGGACAGAGGGGAAAAGGGAAAACTTCAAAGCGGAGATTTTCGGATGTTGCCGGGCAACCGTGCCGCTTGGGGAGCGGTGGGGGAGAAAAAGGGTCGTGATTGGCCGGTTCCGCTGCAGCCCGCCCCTCGCCCCGCCCCGCCCCCTGACTGGCTAAGGTCTGAGCTGGTGGGCGGAGCCCTCCGGAAACCCATCCTCCTCGCCGGGAGGCCCCTTAGTGAGGATGGGCCTCCTACCCCATCGCTCGCGCCCGGCCTCGCTACCCTGCGGAGTCACCCAAGTGCGGGAGACGCCCCCGGCCTGGGGAGCGCAGCAGGGCCAGCTGGGCCCTCAGCCCCTGCAGCAAGTACCTGGGCCGTGCCTTGGGCCGCACAGGCAGCGGGTGGGCAGCCCGCAGGGACGATTCCCCGCCTCCGCCCTCACCCTCGCCCTCCCTCTGACGGCGCAGGCGCAGATGAAGCGTGAGCAACCAGGTGGGGGCCCTCCAAGGCCGGAAGGCTAGGAGGCCAGGTGTGAGCAGAAGCCAGGAGGAAGCCCGCCAGAGACACCAAGACCCTTCCCTGGCGACCCCCTTCCCAGTCAGCTACTTCTCCATCACCCACCATGTCACGAACACCCTTCAGCCTCACATTCTAGGCCCTTCCACGACATCTCCACTACTTCTGCAGTCTTAGTTGTTCTTGTCAAATGTTTCCTAAATTGCCAAGTTCCAGTCAAAAAATGTTCTCGCCAGCTCTATCCCAGAATGGTAGCCTCTGGATGGGTCTCTAGGCAGAAGTGGACTGAGACCCATGGGGCCCTTGGAATCACGTTCCTCTCCACGGTGCTATGAAAAGGGGAAACAGTTTCTCCAGGTCTCTGAGTTCCTCAGAAGCCAGAGTGGAGTCTTTAAACGATCCCCTGGCTCACTCGACAGATCTCTGAGCTGTTCAAGTCCTGGCACACTGGCCATAAAGCCCAAAGAAGCAAATGAATAGGCACTGTGCAAATACGTCCTCTGTGCTAAGCTTGTACCAAGTTTAACGAGTGTCCTTCCTGCCTCTTTCATCAGAAAACAAGCTCCTGGAAGCTGCAAGCCTGCTTTATGTGAATAAGCCCCCCTCAGCCCCTTACATTGAGCCAAGCTGAGAAATCCCATTTTTGACTGAGTGACCGGAGCCATGAAGACAAGCTGAAGGGAAGAAACAGCTTTCTTTCTCACGTCTTCAAGAGCCATCTAATTCAACCAGTCCGGCCAGCAACCCAACCCTAGATCCCACTGAGACCTGCCAGACACAACCAAGTTCTGCCTGGGCTCCCACTAGTCCGCAGCTTCCTGGCATCTGGCTGATGACCTGCTCCCCGACTCGCCATCTCCGGCTGAGTCCAGCAGCCTGAAGTTCGAGTCTACAGTCTGTCTTACTCTTTTTGGACAGCTCCACCTCATAACATGCACTAGCCAGCCAGTAGTCGTTGGGATGCATGGAAGCAGAGGTATTCTTTACACAATGAAATCCCTGGACCTGAACCCCAGCTTCCAGCTCCCTGGTTGTTGGCTAAGTTATTGGACCGCTCTCTCGGCTGTTTCCTCATCTATAAGACTGGGACGGGGTCCACTGCTCAGAGTTGTGGAGACTAGAAGCGACATATACATGGCACTTGGCCCCTTGACTGGCAGCTATTATCAGTCAGTCCCCGCTCCTGCTCCAACTCCCTTGAGAGCCTGGAGCCAGCCAGGGCGGCAGCCACCCTGCTGGCCCCGATTCAGGGAGGCAGGTGGAGTCTCAATGGCCGCCCATATGCAGGTGTCCTCAAGGTCAGTCGGCGTCAGAACACAGTGTCATCTTGGAAGCCAAGCTGCAAAGTTTGGATAATAAGCAGGCTGAGCCCATTCCTCCCCAGGAGAAAAAGAGAATGGGAAATAGAAATACAGAGGTCAGAAAAGCAGAAGGCCAAGAGTAAAAGAGCCAGACAGGGGCAGGTAGGGCAAATTATAAAGGACATGTACAAAGAGGCCAAGGATGTGAAAAGTACCAGAAGGAGCTGACTGCAGCCTCAGAAGGCACCAGGAGGGACAGTGGTCCCTGGTAAGGGAGGAATCCTCACTGGATTACGGCCAGGCCCCAGTGGAAACACATGGAAAATGTCCAGTCACAAAACAGGCCTCCAGTGCCTGAGACAGGAGACAGGGAGGGCCGCAGACAAGGAACATGAGTTCCCAGCTGGCTCAACCCTGCTCCAGCTCCCAAACAGAAGAGCCAAGGGAGGGTCCTGGGCTCAGGGGCAATGTCCCTGGGGACAGGAGCGGTGGTGGCAGCAGACCGCCCCTCCAGGGGGATCCAGAGTCTCCAAAGTGGCTGGCTGGCTTCAGGTTTGGAAACCTCTGTGCCCAGAAGCCTTTGCTTGTAAACTTAGGGTCCGGATGCTCTGGACTGGCCCCAAGTCAGGTCAAGGCTGGGAAAGAGAGTACCCAAGCCCCAACAGCAATGACTCAGGGATGCCTCAGCCATGGAGGCCCCCCGGTCGGACTCACTGCCAGGGCCCCACGAGACAGAGCATAAGCGGTGGCTAGAATTCCAAGGCCTTTAATTTGCAGCTAGCGTGCCCGCGCCTCGCCCTAGCTCCTGTGTTGCCATGCCCCACCCCATGCCAGCACCTCCCACTCCCTTCCCACACCCCTTCTCACGCTGCCCTCACGTCTCCCCCGTGCCCGGCCTCCTAAGTGTGAGCAGGTGGGGGGGCCGCCAGAGCCCCCGCCGCCCCCAGCATCAGCATGGCCAGGGCCTTGGGCCCCGTCGTGTGGATCTTCTCGTGCCGGTGCAGGTTGGAGCGGCGGCTGAAGCTCTTGCCACAGAGGGGGCAGGAGTAGGGCCGGACGCCACGATGGGTGCGCTGGTGGGCGGTGAGGTGTGAGCTGTGACTGAAGCTCTTGCCGCAGTCGAGGCAGTGGTAGGGCTTCTCGCCCGTGTGCGTGCGGTTGTGCGCGATGAGGTTGGAGCGCTGGCTGAAGCACTTGCCGCACTCGGGGCACGGGTAGGGCTTGACCCCAGTGTGGGTGCGCTGGTGGGTGACCAGGGCCGAGCTCTGCGTGAAGCACTTGCCGCAGATGGGGCACTTGTGGGGCTTGGCGCCCGTGTGGGTGCCCTGGTGGGTGACCAGGTCCGAGCGGCGGGTGAAGCGCTTGGCACAGCGCTCACACACATAGGGCTTCTCGCCCGTGTGGATGCGCTGGTGCTGGATCAGCGTCGAGTGGTGGCTGAAGCTCTTCCAGCAGGAGGGGCAGGTGTAGGGCTTCTCGCCCGTGTGGATGATCTGGTGCTGGATGAGGTGCGAACTGCGGCCAAAGCGCTTGCCGCAGTCCGTGCAGGTGTAGGGCTTCTCGCCTGTGTGGGTGCGCCGGTGGGTCACCAGGTGGGAGTGCCAGCTGAAGCCCTTGCCGCACTGCTCGCACTTGTAGGTCTTCTTACTGGCGTCACCGTCGGGGGCCAGGCCCTCCTCGCTGCTCTCGGGGGTGCCCGTTCGCCCCTCTCTGGGTTTCTCTGGGAGGTGGCCCTCCTGGGCCTTCGCGAGGCTGGTGTCGGGCGGGGTCGGTTTCGCCTGCCTCTCCTCCAGGGGACCCGGCTGCCCATCGTCTTTGGCTGGCCCCGAGCTCTGGCCGCTGCCTGCTTGCTGCCCGCACTGCAGGATGTCCCCCTGGGCTCTCCCCACCCTGCTTCTGAAAGACTTCACATCCCCAAGGGCTGCCAGGGATGCCAGGGATGGGGCTGGCTCCTCCTTTCCCATCTCAGTGGCTCCTGGAGAAGGAGAGTTTCCAGCAAGAGAGAGACTTCCGTGAGGGACCCAGGGAAATTCTGGAAATGGAGGTAAGAACAAGGATCCTGGAAGGAAAAGCCACCCCCCCGGCAGAGGACAGAAGCCGGCAGCCTTGCCCCTGGCATGCATCTGCACCCCAGGAAACAGAGGGCCCGCACTGACAAGGGGCACCCCGGAGTGACAGTGACCCACCCACCTGCCACCTCTGCACGCACCTGGCTTCTCCTCCTCATCTCCCATCTGCCGGCACGAGCTCGAGGCCTCACCCTTGCCCTGTCCTTGGGAGGCCCAGAAAGGTCTGCTGAAGGGAAATCCTGGCCAAAAAGAGACAAGAGATGCTGCGCTCAGTCGTGAACTTTCAGGCTGCACTGCAGGAGACAACCCCCACCCCCATCTGCCAAGTGAAGAGGCAGAAGTGGGGAGGCAGCCCTGCAAACATAGGATAAAACGACATAAGCTGAAAAATCGCTTGGGGTCAGGTGTCCAGCCCTCTGTGGGAAGCACCCTGTAGGGTAACTGCCAGACCTACTCTCCTCGGGGCTGAGTTGGGCTCCATCTCATTTCCCTGAACGAGCCCCAAGAGCAAAGGGAGAGGGGCCGGGTGAGGTCAGCTGCCGACAACCCCCTGGTCACACAGGCCCCCAGCAGTGAGCCCAGCAATCTCCAGTCCTGCACCTTCCCAGACCAGGGGCAAAAAGGGCTCCTGGGGGAGGGACAGTGGGTGCAACGAAGCCCAGTGGGAGGGCCTGGGAGAAGAGGCCAGGGGTGCTGACCACCTAGTCAGGGACCAAAGGCCCACTGGCCAAGTCCCCTGGGGCAAGGGCCTGGGGATTCTGGTCAAGTCAGTAAGAGAGCAGAGGCCCCAGCCTCCATGTCCTGATCCATACCCTGCTGGAGGGAAGGAATGTATTGGACCCACCAGCAGGTTTAGGGCATTTGTGAGGCTTGCCGTGGGGCTGCAAATGGGTGCTGAGTTCCCTCTGATCTCTCAGGACTTGCCTGGACCTGCCGCTCTGGGCCCTGGGGAGTGCTAAGGATAGGTGGTAAGCAAACCCGAGATAATTAAAGGAGTGAGCTCTCCTGACTCCGAGGCCCACCACCGAAGTCAAGGGTGGAATGACCAAGCCCCCAGCTCCCCGGACTAGCAAGTGTGCCCCTGGTGTGTATGGATGGACAGACAGACAGACCAGACATATGAATGAACGGCAATGAAGGAATGAGCACCAGGAGCTGTCTGTAAGACCTCCTAAATTCTGCCAACAAAAGCAGGGTCTGAAACGGAGGAGTCGGAGTGCTGGGACTTTACTTACCATGAGAAACAATGAGGGAGACAAGGCCCCTCTGAAAAAACGACAGGCCCCTCAGGGTAGATGTGACAGCTCAGGGTCTGGGGTCTAGAGAGATTAGCTGGCACCCGTGCCCCCCACTCGCGGCAGGCATCCCCGATCTGCAGCCAAGCTCTCTGCACACACACCTCTCAGGTGGGGCTTTGAGGAGCGGGACAGTGGGAGGAGCGGACTAAACACTTCAGAAGGACCGAGGAGCAGAACCTCGAGGCCAGCACTGCCCAACATAGCAGCCACTCGCCATGTGGGGCTATTGCAATTCAATCTTGAGCCGGGTAAAATGAAATAAAATATGAACTCAGGCGCTCCAGCCACATTTCCAGTGCCGAGCAGCCACATCTGGCTCATGGGCCCCAGGTCAGCACAGAGCACACGTCCTTCACCAGGAAGGTGTTACAGACCAGAGCGGCCCACATGAACGATGAGAAGGAGCTTAGCCCTGGAAGGAGGGGATGGCGGGATGGCCCCACTTCTGGCACCGGGCCTCAGAGAGTGGCCACCCCAGCACAACCTCGGGCCCTTACCCAAGGACAGCCCATTCCTCTTCTGCAGGACGTCCCTATAGAAGCTCTGCTGCGCGTGGTCCAGCCGCCCCCACTCCTCCCGGGAGAGGTACAGAGCCACGTCCTCAAAGGTCACCGGCATCTGAAACAACACAGAAGGCCCACTCTCCAGGGCACGCCGGGACACCGTGGAGGGGCACAATGGCTCCAAATGAGGGCGACCCCTCCCCGGCCTCCAACCTGCTGCCCCGAGTAAGGCCTGTCCTCCAATCTGTCTGATGGTGAAGGAGGACAGCCGCCCAAGGGTGACTTTGGGGGTTGGGGGGGCAATAACAAAGCAGCTGTGTACAACAGAAAACAAAAGACAAAGACAAGGGCCCTTTCCAGCACCACAACCAAAGCTCAGGCTCTCCACGCGCCCCCCTCCGGCCCCCATCCTCGGGTCTGGCGCTCAGATCCAGACGCTGAGGCAGACATGCCGTTCCTCAACATCCCTGTGCTCTTCCTCCAGCCTTGCACTTGAACAGGGACACTCACCTGGGACCAGGCGGTGAGCAGTGCCGCAGCCATCTGCCGGTCTCTGGTCCTGCCCTCGCGAGCAAGCCCGGGGATCTGGGGGGAGGGGAGGGCTGAGAGAGGAGAGAGGTCCTCAGGGCGGCCACCTCACCCTGCTGGGCCCGGCCACTCCCCCTGAGCGGACCATGCCTGGCTTACCAGGGACACCACAGCTGCCTCAAACCCCACCCCCAACCTGACCCAAGAAGAGGGTCAGTAGGTTCTGAGGTTGTGCAGGAGCGGCCTCTGAGGGGCAGGTGGGCAGACATCCGGGCATCTCCATGGCAGGAGAGCTTGTGCCCCCCCCATGCTGTGAGCCTCCACCTCTCCCCACAGCTGCTACCCAACAAAGTGCGTCTCTCTACGTCCCTCTCCATCCCTCTCCTCACCTCCACCAGGCAGGAAAAGAGCTTTCTCTTTAGAGCCCTGGCTTAGGGACACCCAGCCCGGCGTTCCTGGAGCCCCATCCCCCTGCAGTGCCCCCTCAGGTTGTGGCTCTTCCGGCTCCGTCTTGATGTGGGGTGACTCCTGAGCGGCTCCCAAAGGCACCATCTCCTCCGACTCAGAAAGCATTTCTTGACAAGGATCCCCATGACCTGGAACCTAGGAATGACAGCCCCCATCAGCACCTGGGCAGAGTATGGGAGACTCACAGCCGAGCTCCACACCTGAGGGTCCTGGCAGGGGCCACACACACCCAAATGCAAGGCACAGATTGAAGGACTGGCCTTGCTTTCTTCTCCTGGCCCTGGGGACCCGCACACCTCTGCTTTACCTCCACAAGGCCGGGGCAGCAAGGGAAGGAAGGAAGGCGCAAGGTCGGGCCAGGGGCAGGCTGGCCAGGTGCCCACAGAGCAGAAGCCTCTTCTCAATTCCAGCCTCGTACCTCCCACAGCAGTGTGGACTGCTACTGTTTAACACTGAGGAAACTAAGTGTAGTGGATTGAATAGTGTCCCCCCAAATTTCACATCTGCTCGGAACCTCAGAACATGACCTTATTTGGAAGATGTAATTAGTTAAGGATGCTGAGATGAAATCATCCTGCATTTAGACTGGGCCCTAAATCCAATGACTGGTGTCCTTATAAGAGGAAAAGACATGGAAACACAGAGAAAGCCACGTGAAGATGGAGTCAGAGCTGGGGTGAAGCCAAGGGACACCTGGAGCCCCCAGACGCTGAGAGGCAGAAGGATCCTCTTCCTAGAGGCTGGGGAGGGAGCCCCCCCAATGCTGTGATTTGGGGTTTCTGGCCTCTAGAACTGAGGGAATAAATTCTGGTTGTTACACAGATGCAGGACACTGACGTATCCGGGCTCAGAGATCAGACAACGGCCCAAGATCACAGAGCCCATGAGTGCTCGACCAAGAGTGGAACTCGAGGGTATCTGACTCACAAGTCAACCCCAGGGCCACCATTTCTTGGAGATGACAGGGAAGTATCATGTGGCCTTGGGCCATTTCCAGCCTGACTCAATTTGGTCACAGAAGTTGGAGTTTTGGGGTTTGGAGAGAAAAGCCCAAGGGTACCACTAACTGTGCCAAGGCCCGCGCCCACCTGGGTCCGACAGAAGGAAAACCTCCCGGTTCACCCCTGCAGCACCACCCACCACAACGGCGCTTCCAGGGTCCTCCTACCCAGTCCCCACTTCTTCACACCAGCCTCAGCTCCAGCCCCTGGGACGGTGAGAAAGGGGCTTTGGAGTCAGGCAACCAGGGCTCAGATCCAGGCCATCCAGGCCGGCCCCTCACTAGCTGCTCAACCTGGAGCAGGCACCGCCTTCCCACAAACCTCAAGAGTTTGGGGAAAGTCACTTCCTTTGCCTTGGGAGGCCCCTGGTGAGGCCTCCCTGTCATCCACAACACAGGGATTGGCCAGGCTTCTCCCTCCACCACCCCCCACCTACTGCCTATGGTATTAGGGTCTCAGAGGGAAAGACCCTCAGGTCAGGGAGCCACCTGGGCCAGGCAGCCTCCGAGACTCAACTGCTCTGCCTCATGAACAGATAACCTGTGAGAAAGAGCTGTGCACTCTGGAACATTCAGGATAAACACAGAGTGGTGCCAAAAATTATTATTATTACTCTACTGTGTGAGCTGACAGAATCCAGCAGTAGCACAGAATGTCAGGGACGTGTGAGACCCATCGGGTGTTACCAAGGCATTGTGGAAGGGAAAGCAAACAGAGCTGACACTGCTTTGTGCGTCTATGGCATGAAAATGGGACAATTAATACAGACAGTCCCTGACTTACAACGGCTCAACTTAACCAGTTTTCAACTTTACGATGGCACTCAAGTAATAACACATTCAGTAGAAACCACTTCGAATTTTGAATTTGCATCTTCCGCTGGGCTAGCGATCTGTAGCACGGTCCTCCCTGGGGATGTGGGGGCAGGAGCCGAAGCTCCTGTCAGCCACGCGCTCACGAGGGTAAACGACCGACAAACTGACCGCCATCCCGTTTTTCTCTTTCAGTACGGTATTCACTGTATTACATGAGATACTGCTCAGCACTTCATTATGAAATGGGCTCTGTGGAAGGCGATTTTGCCCAACTGTAGGCTGATGTCAGTGTTCCGAGCATGTCTGAGGGAGGCAGATTAAGCTATGATGTTCAGTAGGTTAGTGTGTTAAATGCATTTTCGACTTCTTATACTTACAATGGGTTTATCAGGATGTAACCCCAAAGCAAGTCGAGGAAGATCTGCACTTGATTTGTATTTGAACTTAGCAACCCCTGGAACTACTAGTTGAGGTGCTGTAGGTTTCTCTGACCTAGGTTCTAGTTGCTGTGGGTGTTATTTTATGTTACAATAGTTACCTGCTCTGAGCCTCCCAGCCACCTAGATGAGACAGGTAGGAACAGCAGGCCCGTGATAGACATGTTATAGGTGACACTCCTCATTCCCAGAGGCAGGGGACCTGCCCAAGGTCACACACCTGGCTGTAGCTGACTCATATTCCTTTAATTCCAAGCCCAGTGGCCCTGGTCCCCGCCCCCCACAGGTTGTAATTACACACATGGGCAACAGGTACATGAAGGAGTAGGTGCTTAGACCCAGAGAGAGTGGAGATGGGGTCCTAGGCAGAGGGAGGGTAAACTGAGGCTTCCCTGCATGCTCTGGGCACTGTTCAGAGAGCAACCCCACCAGGAGAACCCCCATGCAGCCTCCTTGCTATTTTGTGTGGCCTTTGGCCAACTGATGACTGAAATTGCCAGGCAAAACGGAGCAGCTTGGTAGCTGTCGATTCCCAGGTGGAAGGCATTTCCTGTCGTACCACCATCCCTTCAACACCTCCCATCACCCCCATCCCCAGCCCTGCACCCCGGCGAGCCTAATTCTTCCTTGCCTTGAAAATCCCCTCCTGCTCTGAGTCCTTCCAAGACATGCATCCTTCACCCAGTGCCCCGTCCATACCTCTCGGGCTCTCTCCTTGTCCTGGGCAGCGCGGGTGCCTCCACCGTCTGCAGACATTTCTGAGATCAGAGGTAGGAAGCACAGCTGAGTCGTTTCTCCCTCTTGTTGGCCAACCCCCTCCAGCTTCTGGCCAGGAGCCTGAAAGAGCAGGAAGAAATCAGCCAGCGTCTGCTGGGCACCTCTAAAGCACTGTGAAAATCCCCACGCAGGGGCAGACCCATCCTCGGTCCCAATCAGAAATAAAGCCTCCCAGATGCCTTCCAGTGACCTCACTCTCTGTGATGGTTTTTGGTCCCTCGCTTGACAGAATGCTGTTTTGTATCGTCCCCTTTGTCACTTAAGCCAGGACTCTGCATCTCAGAGCAGCCCAGTTAGGGAAAGCCAGGGCTGACTTGGAATCTGTCTCTCCTGCCATCAGGAGCCAAAAGGTCTGCAGAGATCCTACAAAACAGGTGCTGGGTGTGGCCACACCCGTCACAGCCAGCTCAGCGGGAGAAGCGAGGCCCCACTGTCTCCCCCACCCAGGACACATACACCCTGCGCTTGACCTGACTCAGCCCCGCCTGGGATCCAGAAACTGAGCAGCCTGCAGCTGCAACCACTCTCCAGGTCCATCCTGCTCAGGGGCCTGGACAGACCATGTCCTTCCCCTTCCCTAACCTGGGTCCAGGCCCCCTTTTCTCCCCACCAGCCTGAAGCCTTCCACTTTTGACCCCGTCCCCTCCTGCCAGCCGGCCACCCACATGGATCTCGGGATCCAGGCTCCCTCCCCAGTGCCCCTCTCACCGAGGTGGAGGCAGAGGGGGCACCTCGGGTGGTGGGGGCCCCCTCCCCCAGGAAGGGAGACTCCACAGCCTACACCGGGCCGGGGAGCCGGGTGGAGACTGGGATTAGGGACAACAGGAAGTCCCTCCCAGATCCCGTTCCCCACGCAGCTGCAGCCCTACAGGGTTCCCGGCTTCGAGGGTTCCGGGTCTGGGGTCCTGAGCTGGGCTGCACCTGCTCTCGGCCAGGAGGTGAGTCCTAGGTCTGCGCTGCCTGCTCACGATCGCTTTACCTGGCATGCACTTGTGATGCCAGGAAAGCAGGGATGCCAAAATGGGGAAATAAATTCTGTGGAAGGATTCTGACATTTGACATTTCAAAGAGGGCACTGCAACTGTTCTCACAGAAGGAAGGGTACTTTCCTGGGTAGAGGGGTACGATGGTCCTTTTTGACACACAGGGCTTCTGAAGGTCTTATGGTGTCTCCATAGAGACGTTCCTGGATTTCACCTAAGGCCCCCAGGCCGGTAAGCAGGTCCTCTGGGCTCTCCCCAAGACTGGCGTGGAGTTCTGTCTCCCCGAGAGCAAACTTAGCAAACAGGCCTGGGAACTCCCCCCTACCCCCACCCCTGTGCCCCACCCCATGAAAAGATGTCGGACCAATCTGATTCCTCTAGACCTCCTCTCCCCAGCTCCGTCTCAAGGCTGGGGAGTGTAACAGGGGTAACGGGGTCTGACCCAGCCATCAATAGGGTCCCAGACTCCATCTCCCAGTCTTGGCTTTCCCTTTGGGCCCTGAGAACCAAGGCTCCCAAAATGGAGGCCGAGACTGCTTCACTTCTAGGTTGAAGAACCCATCTCCCCCCTGAGCAGGGCATAGAAGATGGGTCTCAGGAGACGAGTGGGGCCAGCTCTGGAGTCAGATTCCAGGAAACCTCCCCATGCGTGTGGCGTCCAGCCATCAGAATCCTCTGACCCTTCACCCAGTAAGACAGGCACACGTGGCCCCGTGCCGGCCTACAGCTGTGCTGTGTGGGCTCACAGGGGCTTAACTACTTTAAAACTTAGTTTTCCAACATTTAACAATTAGTAAAGTTCTCATAAAATCAAGTTTCTTGAAAAATCAGAACATCAGGCAACCCTGGACTCATATTCCCCACATTCGGGGGCTGCTCTCATGTAGCTGCATTTGGTCCCCACTTGCCCCTGCAGCATTCTGAATTTGCAACTCTGCTTTTGGAGTTAAACATGTTTTAGGATTCTGATCTATCCTACTGTCACTTTGATGAACAAAAAATATTAGCCTTGGGGTTTGCCTCTGGTCAGTATTTCCAGGAGTTTTAATCCTCAAGGTAAAGAGGGATGTCCAAAGTTGTAGCAAAAGTCAATACGATTGTCAAGCCAGAAAACTATAAACTGAGAAGTCACAGGGGGCTGTGAAAAAGATTAACTACTCAGTCTGTGAATGTTTCTCCATCAACAAGGAACATGACCAATGTCCAGAGTAAGGAGACTCACTCCTGTGGTGACCCATTTCAGCCCACGTCAGCTCTAGGCATGCACCAAGTCCCAAAACAGTGGGAGTGTCCTGATTCTTGGGCAAATGTTTCTCTACCAGACAAAAGGGGCCACTTCAGGGATGCTGGGGAATCCCAGCAGTTTGGATCCCACCACGAGATCACCTAAACTAAACCAAATGAAGTCTCAACATTTATTTAACTGTTCAGAAAATATTTATTGAGCATCTACTATATGACAGACATTAGCCCCTTCCTGGAGATGAGAGGAAACACCTCCAGGGCTGGCTCTAGGACTGAGCAGGTCTAGGAGGAAGGGTGTTCACGTTTGCTGTGTGGGAACTGCAGTCCCTAAAAGACCGCAGAAAGGCACCAGGGAAAGCAAAGATCAAAAACCTAAATGACTCCAGCAAACAGGCAGCACCACAAATGACCAGTGGCTTGGATGAAAGATGGTAGTGGGGGAGGGCTGCAGGGGCTTCAAGAAATCATATTTTGTTCAAAGGGGGCAGTTGGGGCTCAATATTGCCAAAGCTTGAGGATTTTTCAAGAGACACCAAAAAAAAAAAAAAAGATTTATATGTGAAATATCCCGACTTTTAAATGTCGATGATTCAAATAAAAATTTAAGAACTCCATACAACTTCAGCAGAAAACACCTGCTGTCTAGCTCATGGGGCACCAGTTCCGGGATGTACTCACCTCAGGAGCCTGTCACAAGGATAACTATCACGGATGGAGGCGTTTATCTGGGCTTCAGACGGGGCAAACATTCCCGCATCTGGCGGCTTCACTGAGCTTAAGAAGAGGTCACCTTCAGTAAATAAATCATGATCTACCTTCAGACATTGGCCTGAGAATTGACTCCGGTCCCACAAAAGCGGTCAGAATAATAAGAACTAGAAAAAGGCATCACCTGAAGTAAGAAGGGAAAAAAATGTTTAAAAAGGAAAGGGAAGAAAGCTTGTACTAATTACGGCTGTTCAGCCAAGCTGGAGACAGGGTAATGCAGAACTCTTATCTAGCCTTAGGAAGGAGAGAAGATAAGGAGAAATAAAGGAATGTGAGAGAGGCCAGGAAAAACAGGAATAATCGAGTAAACAGCAGAGCAAATGCTAACCACGGAAAAAGAAAAAAAAGGAAAGCGGATAGGTGGGCAAATCAGGTGCGGCCCCAGGAATACAAATTTTTTTAAAGCAAATAATTAAGAACCCTCAGGGCCACTGAGACCAGGGCGTGGACGCCCCCTCGGCCAGCGACAAGCCCGAGGCCCCGTGCCCTGACGCCAGGCGGCCGCACAAGCCACCGTTCCCGGCCGCGGGGGGCCCACGAGCCCCGCGCCCACGAGTCAGCGCCTTCCACCCCCAGCCGGCCGACCACCGACGCGGGACCGCGTCGCCCAGGCAGCAACGCCGCCCCGCCCACGCAGCGCCGCCGCCCCACCCACGCGCCTACGGCAGCCACCGGTGATTGGCTGGCGCCCGACGGCCTGGCCCATCTCCCTGCCCAGGGCCCCGCCCCTAGCTGCGCGCTCCCGTCCGCGCCCCCCTGAGGGACAGCCCCGCCGAGGGGGGAGGGTCACGCTGGGCGGCCTGCCTCTGGCCGGTGTGCCCGCGTTTCCCGTCCGGCTGCCTCATCTCAACTTCCGGTTTCCCGGCCCTCTCGCGGCGCCCGCCGGTGGGCATCGTGCGCGGGGACAGCCGGGGCGGTGAGGACCGCGAGGAGGACGGCCACGAGCCCTCGAGTCGGCGTCTCGCGTGGGGAACCTGAAGCTGTCTGCGCGAGGGCCCGGCCCCCGGCCCCCGACACTCACCTGTTCAGAATTTTGTTTCAAAAACAGGAGTATAGCATATGCTGCCGACCTGCCCCCTCTGTGACGCATACCTTGTTCAATATAAAAACAGAGAGGACAAAAACCATGCTGTGTCAAAACCAAACAGCCAGACATCCGTCAAGGCAGCGAAAGCAGACTTTATTCAGTAACTGCTGACAGCAGGGGAAAGAGCTGAGCTCTGTCTGGTTTGTGCAGAGGTGACTGGGGTTTTAAAGGGAGGAGGGAGGAGGAGAGCAGGGCCCACTAGAGTCAGGGTCGTGAACGATCACAGACAGCAGGTCAGTGGGGGTGTGACCAGGCCAGGAGGTGTGTCCCTGGCAGGTATGGAAGTCAGCAGTCTATCCTCCCACGGAGAAGGGAGCCCGAAGCCAGGTCCCTCCAAAGGAATGGCTCTCCCGTGACAGATGCTTCTCGGTTTTAAGAGACACATACAATAATAAACCCTTTTTAGTAAATGCTCTAAGGGAGGTCAGCTGTTGGCTGGAACAAACACTAAATTCTCCCTGCAGCATTGAGCTTTCTCAGGCAGGGCTGGGGTCATCCTAGCCGTGCGCTGCCGGAAGCCATCCTAGAGTCTGGTCAAGTCTCTCCGTGCTGGTTGAGGAATGGTTATGTGCTGAGAATTCTATAAATCTCAAGCGGTGCCTTGCTGGTTTTAGCTATGGCACATTCCCTTGTATGGCTGACCCAGCAGCCTGCCCATCACAGTCAGCAGAAATGGCCAAGAGGCCCCGTCCTAGGCAGCAACACCAAGTGCTTCCTTCCATGATTGTCAAGGCTAGCAGCTTCAGCCTCAGCCAGACAAGCTGTGGACTCCAAGGCCAGAAACCCCCCAAATTTAATAGGATAGACTGGATATGTTCCCAGAGCACCCATATCCCACCTTCCGGAACAATGACTTTACCTGGGAGCTAAAGACAGCTTACAGTACAGGCAGGGAGGATACACTCTAGTGAAACTAGGCTGGATAGCTCAAGACTCACTCCGGCTGGCCCTTTGGTGTGGAAATTAGAGTAAGTTAAGTTACTTTTTCTTTAGAGATTGGTGCATTTTTAGGAAACCAGGAGAGTGTCATCATCCCAAAATACCCTTCGTTGCAGCTGCCACCTCCTACTATCTCATACCTAAAGTGTCCCCCAGTCTCGGGTAGAGTTTCAGGTTACATTCATTCATGCAAGCCTAAGACACTGAGGCAGGGAGGATAGGGGGACTCAGAAGGCATTCTGCCAGGCTCAGCACCAGAGGACCCTTACTGAAGGCCCCTCACAGTAGCAAATGGCAATGGCACCCAAGCACCCACCCTTGATGGCAGTTTCGGCTTATATTTACAACCCTTCATCCTGCTACATTCTCCCTCCCCCACTCCCCAGCCGTCAGACTCCCTGTACAGATCTTGTGGTCTCACACAGAATCTTTTATATTCTTTTTACTTCAGTGGGTGTGGAAAAAAAAAAAATGTAGAGCTTCCATTTATTTTTACTTTATCTCATCCTTTCAAAAATTCAATTTTTGTGATTTTGTTTTAAAGTAGGCTCTATGCCCAGCATGGAGCCCAATGCAGGGCTTGAACTTACAACCCTGAGATCAAGACCTGAGCTGAGATCGAGTCAGATTCTTAACGGACTGAGCCACCCAGGCACCCCTTTGTGAATGTTTTATAATGGGGGGGGGATCAGCTAATGATAAGAATCAGGGCCCTTGGAGAAATGGGTGATCCTAGGACCAGGGCAAAATATACACAAGATGAATCTGTAGATGGTGGGAGGGGAAAGACTGCAAGCTCTCTAGACAAGTGGGTGGCAGAATATTCTAAAGCTGAACATCTACATATTCTGTGACCTAAGTGATTCACTCCTGGGTAGAAACCCAGCAGTAACTCACATCCCATGGTCACCAGAGACTTACAATAACTACTACATGTAGTCCCAAACAGAAAAACCACCTACTGTCTAGGTAGGTGGGATGAACAAATAATGCAACAGGGAACACCATTCAGGAAATAAGCAACACATGGATTGGGTCTCCCACTATGGGGTAAGCAAGGTGAAGAATCCCTTGGGGGTGCCTGACTGGCTCAGCTGGTACGGCATGCAACTCTTGATCTTGGGGTTGTGTGTTTGAGCCCTACCTTGGGTTTAGAGATTACTTAAAAATAAATCTTAGGGGCACCTGGGGTAGCTCAGTTGGTTAAGTGTCTGTCTTCAGCTCAGGTCATGATCTTGGGGTCCTGGGATGGACTCCCACGATGGGCTCCCTGCTCAGTGGGAAGTCTGCCTCTCCCTCTCCCCCCTGCTCGTGCTCTCGCTTGCTCTCTCTCAAATAACTAAGTTAAATATCTTGAAAAAAAAAAAGAAAGAAAGAAAATCTTTTTTAAAAAATCCTATTCTGTGACTTCATTTACATGACGTTCAAAACCAGACCAAATGTATCTGCTGTAGTTGGAAGTTAAGATGGTGATTATGGGGGAGGGAAATGGCCAGAAGGGGGCACCAGAGTAGGCCAGGAATGCAATGGCTGTCCTCACTCGGTGGAAATTCATCATACTCTTCATTCTTGGTTTATGTACATTTCTGTATGTTACACCTAAAACTTTTGTTTAAAAAAAAAAATGTGAATGAAGAGAAACCAGTGGGGCGCCTGGGTAGCTCAGTTGGTTACTACAAGTTGGCCCTTCTGCTCAGGTCATGATCCCAGGGTCCTGGGATGGAGCCCCACATTGGGCTCCCTGCTCAGTGGGGAGTCTGCTTCTCCTCTCCCTCTGCCTGCCGCTCCCCCTGCTTGTGCTCTCTGTCAAATAAATAAATAAAGTCTTTTAAAAAAGAGAGAGAAACCAGTTAGGTCATTGCTATGGCCTTGGCAGGTGACGATGGGGGCCTGGACTTGGATGACAAGCAGTGGAAGTACAGAAATAGGCAGATTTGAAAAACATTTAGGATATTAACCCTACGGAACTTGGAGACTGACGAGATGTGAGAATGAGGTAAAGCGAGGGGATCAGGGATAAATCCCAATTTCTGGTTTGAGTGACATGTTTACCAAACCAGAAAATACCAGAGGCACAGAGGTTTGATGTGGAGGACTCATTGAGCCACGTGTAGTGAGGATTTGCTACCTGCCGGGCCCTGGGGACACAGCGGGCAAGGACAACTGAGCCCCTGCCGTGGAGCTTGCAAGGAGCTGCGTGAGCTTGGTCTTGAACACGAAGACTCTGGGGCATTGATGAGACATCCAGGTGGCAACACCAAGTGCAAAGAGTCAAGAAAGAAAATATAAATACAGGGATATTGGCACCGAGAATGGTTATGGAGGCAGCTATGAAACCAGCAAGGGAGGTACATTAGTTACTTATTGCTGTGTAATCAATGATCCCAAAACATTGTAGCTTAAAATAAATACTTATTATCTCATGGTTTTTGAACCCTACAGGGCTTAGCTGGGTGCCTCTAGCTCCTCAAGCTCAAGGTCAATAGCCGTGGTCAAGTCATCCATTTGACTGTGGGAGAGGGTCCAAGTTGACTGGCCTTGGTCCCTCACCACAAGGGCCTCTCTCTCCTCAGACGTGGCTCCCCCAGGGTGAGCCAGCAAGACATGGAGAGAGAGCACGTCAGGGCTGCCAAGAAATCACAGTCTGTTTACAACCTAATCTGCTCCTACTCAATTCTGTTTATTAGAAGTGAATCACTAAATCCAGCCCCCACCCAAAGGGAGTGGGTTACACAAGGGTGAGACCAACGAGAGGCAAGGATCACTGGAGGCCCCCAAGCCAGAGCCTCGCAGGTGCCAACAGGTACTGCTCAGTAAATGCTCAAAGGTGAGGCTGGTGCAGGAGGCTGAGCAGAGACTTTGGGAGAAATGGAGAAAGAGAAGATAGGCAATAAGGAAGGAAGGAAGGAGAAGATCAAACCGACCGAGAGGTCCACTGGGAACCAGCGACCCACGGAAACACGCCCTGTGGCTGACCATCCAGTGCAGGGACAGACGAAAGCCAAGCAAACAAAAAAGCGACAAGTGAATTAGACTGTGGCACATGCGAGGAGGGAACAAGCATGGACGGAGAGAGGACAGAGGGGACACTGTCACAAGAATGGGCGGAAGCAGCCTCCACAAGGAGACTGACATCACTGGTGGACATTTCCGAATGAAGCAGGGGTCGGGGCGAGAGCATCCCTTCCAGGCCAGGGCCGTGAGGAGGATGGAGCTGGTGTGCTCAGAGACTGAAGGGCAAAGGCAGAGGGCAGAAGATGTGACTGCGGGTGGGCGCCGGGGGTGAGCTGTCTGCATGTAGTTCAAAGGCGCGGTGGGAAACCACAGAGGAGCTTGGAGCAGCAGAGAGACTAGATCCCATCAAATGATGCTGAAGGCACACGGATAGTGGCAAATGGCAAAGCTGAGGCTGCAGCTCAGGCCCCTGGAGCCAGTGAGACAGACCAGAGGCTTGGGGGTGGGGGCGCGAATTTATGGATACCAGAGAAATACGGGGTCGGGCCCAAGGCTCACCTCGTGTTCTCAATATCCCCCCGTGTCTCTGTCCCAGGGCTGGTCCTCAGTGAGGGCTGCGCCCTCCACTCCCTGCAATCCTTCACTGCAAG